ATGACGGGAATTGGGAGCTGAGCTGACGAGACCACAGGCGTGATCATGGGCAGATCCTGTCGCAGATCCAACTCTTCCTGGTCGACGAGGTTCGTTGGGCCTTGTCTCCACTGGGCTTGCATATTGAGCACGGCTCTCAACAAGGTGCACATCCTGAACGAGACGCGCGGCAGTACGCTTGAGGTTGTCATCTCACGCATGAAGACGCGCGGGACCTCCGTCCGCTTCGTCATGGTCTCCGCCACCGTCCCGAATATTCAGGACATCGCGAGCTGGGTGGGGAGTGCGAGGAACCGCAGTGAGCCAGCAAAGGTCTACGAGGTACGACGCCGTTCGTTCGAATGGGTCCCTTCTGACGTTTGATCAGTTCGGCGAGGAATATCGACCATGCAAGTTGACGCGCCATGTCGTCGGCGTGCCGCGACAGAAGAACAGCAATGACTTCCAGTTTGCGAAGATCTTGGATTATAAGATATTTGAGACGCTGCAGACGTATTCTTCGGGTATGTATGCGTCCTGCGATTGCGAAGCAAGCTAATTTCTGTCTAGGCAAACCGATCCTGGTGTTTGTGGCAACCAGGAAGGGTGCGTCCTTGCGTTGCAGGGTTTTGTTACAAAGAGCTGACATCTCAGGCGTCTTTGGGACCGCCGATCAGCTCAAGAAGGATTATGAAGAGGCTATGAAGAAAAAGCAGACGTTGCCTTGGGTAAGGCCACCTAGGTATGTTCTCTCCGAGGCGCTCTGGGCTCTGTTAACGATAATTTTACAGAATAAACTACACCTTCAACGACAAGCGCCTCGAAGGTGATCTCGTTGCGTAGTGGTCATTCGTCCTGCGTCGACTGACACGTTGTAGACTGGGCGTCGTATGGCATTGGCGTACACCACGCTGGGCTGACCATGGACGATCGACGCGCGATCGAAGACTTGTACATGAACAGGAAACTGCGTATCGTGGTGGCGACATCCGTGAGTCTCGATGCGGCTGGAAATGGATAGGTGCTGAAGACAGTCTATAGACGCTCGCCGTCGGTGTAAATTTGCGTATGCCATGCACCGTTCGTCTCGGTCCATATGCATACCTAACGTCCTGCGCAGCCGCGCATACTGTCGTCATCAAGGGCGTGCACATCTTCCAGAACAACATGTCGATGGAGTACAGCGATCTGGACATTATACAGGTGGGTAGCTGTCTTCGAGGATATTCGGGGCTCTGACGGTAGACCAGATGTTGGGACGAGCAGGCCGTCCACAATTCGGTGAGCCCCGATTACTAGATTTACACTGAAGAACGTTCTGACGGTCCGCAAGACAAGGAAGGCGTCGCCATCATCTTGTGCGAGCAGGACCTGGAGAACAAGTATCGCGCCCTCCTTCAGGGCACTACCGTCTTGGAGAGCTCCCTGCATCTCAATCTCTCGGAACATCTCAACTCGGAGATCGGTCTGGGCACCATCACCAACCTACAGACTGCGAAAGGCTGGTTGAAGAACTCCTTCCTGTTCCAGCGCATCCAGCGTAATCCGAACCACTACGCACTGGGCAAGAACGAGGACCAGACTTGGGAGGAGCGCATGGACGACCTCGTCATACAGAGCGTCGTCAAACTCAAGGATTCAGAACTGATTACTTACGAGGGAGAAGCGCCCAATATCGGCCAGCTACAGTCGACAGAATACGGTGATATTATGAGCAAGGCGCGTGCTTTCATTGCAGCCGCACTGTACACCTGCTAATCACATCCTGCAGTTCTATATACGACAGACTACAGTGCGTTTCTCTGCTACTCCTTCATCATGCTCATGTGTCACGCAGATGTGCTTGATCTTGAAAATGCCCGAGAAACCGACCTTGCGAGAAGTGGTATGTCCTTTTTCCCTGCCAGGCCGGATGCGTCCTGACGAATGATTCTTGAGCTTGAGACAATTTCAGTAGCGGACGAGTGCGTGCACAGTCCGCCGCCCACTTGATGCGCTGACTTATCTTTACTAGGTGCGGTGACAGCAAACTTCGAACGTCGGAGAAGGCGGTACGTGTCCTGCACATCGATTTACTGCGTGCCGTAACAGCTACTGCTCAGATCTTGAGCAAGATCAATCGTCACAATGACCTACGCTTCACCATAAAGAAAGTCGAGAAGACGAGCGACAAGGCTTTCTTATTGATACAGGTAGGCCGTTGTTGTTTCTTGTCGTACATATGACACCGCGTAACGATGAGTAGGCGATCCTAGGAGGTCTGCCCCTCAGCAGCAGCGACTTCAAGAGCGGAGATAGCCAACCTCAGCTGGAGGCTTTCGGCATATTCAAACACATAGGCAGAATCTCCAAAGCCGTCGTTGAAGTTGCGATAGCCCGACGTCATGGTGCCCAGTTGCGGCACGGACTAGAGCTGTGCGTGATCGTGTCGCCGACGTGTCGCACCGCTTCTGGAAGCTCACTGTGGTTGCAGTAGTCGCTGTTTCGCGGCCAAGGCATGGGAGGATCGTCCCATAGTTTTCCGGCAGATACCAAAAATCGGCGAGAAATCGTACGTCCTTCGATGCTCTCCTGTTTCCCGGCTGACTTCGCCACAGGATCAATGTGTTTCTCTCTCTAATGCTGCCCTCGGACGTCACTGAAGACACATTGTCAGGTCCTTGCAGAGCATGGAATCACCTCCATCAGCAAGCTTCGCAAAGAGAACCCAATCCGCATAGAGGCTGTATGTCTCGGAATTGTTTAGTCGCGTATGCTGCTCATAAACATCATTCACAGCTATTGAATCGTCGACCACCCTTTGGCCACGAAATCATTGCGGCTGTTCAAGAGTTCCCGCATTACAGCATTTCCATCAAGGAACTGCAAGTCCATCCAGGAGGAGGGGATTCGCCGGCAACCGTTGAGCTACTCGTCGAGTGCGGTGTCATCGAGCATTCGCAATCTTCCAACGGCAAGAAAGGGAAGATAAAGAGCAGCACGTTCACCTCGGTGTTGACAGTAACATCGGACGACGACTTCATCGATTTCCGCCGGATACCGTACGTATATTTTGCCAGTGGACGCAAAGTTACTAACCATATGACCAGTACGCGGTCGATAGGCAACTGCAAATCGTTCGAGGTTTCAGCAGAGTTGACAAAGCCGAGTCAGACAGTAATCGTCTACATCAGCTCCGTGCGTATCGCTCTCACCATCTATCTAACGTATCTCATTATGGCATAGGAAAACTATGCTGGGGTCACTGTCACTCAATCGTACAAGCCCAGGCTTCCTCCGTCGGCATTCCCCACGTTGGTGACCCGTCCGGGGAGTGAGTTGGTGAGTAGTGTATTCTTCTGAATTATGACGTTGCTCAAAACCGCGTCAGGACCGTATGGTGGAAGATCTCGAGGCGGATCAGGATTTCTGGGGCATGATGGATGAGGGCGAGCCGACAAGCGATGAAAAGCCTGTTGCGAAGAATATGCATTCAAAGCCACCTGCTACGAAGAGGCCAGAAAACAAGCCGCCTGCTCCTAAGAAGCCTTCAACAGCGAAAACTCAGAACTCTGCGGCACAGGAGCAGCAGTCCCCAGATACGAGGGTGCGGAGACGTGGTGACGGCAAATACGAGTTAGCATCGCATTGGTATCACGTCTGCGTACTGAACATTCCTTCAGCTGCAACCATAATTGCAAGGACAAATCCAAGTGTCGCCATCTGTGGTGCGTCGGTTCTTATGACTGACTCGTGCTTTATGTCATCGCATGCACAGCTGCCGCGACGGACTACCAGCACCACCTCTCGGAATCAGGAAGAGACCTTCTGCCGGTAAGAATGACCCTCGCTCGCCTGCAACGCGACAAGAGAAGACCACCAAGAAGACGCCTGTAAAGAAGGCACCCACTAAAGCAGCGCAGAAGGAAGATCGCCGACTACAGGACCTTGACGAGCTTCACAGGAATGCAAACGTGTCCGAGAACATTGGCATCAACCACGGGAAGAGGATCAAGGTTAACTCAAATCCGCCGCTGAAGCTATCACCCTCGCCTGACATCGCGCCTTCTCCGCGGTCGCCCTTACTGGAGTACAAGGACATCCAGGACGAGGATGACGAGCTGCCGGACCCACTGGACATCCTGCGCACCATGCCGACGAAGCAATCTTCGGATAACTACTCGGACTCTGAGCTTGACGCGCTGATGATGAAGATCCCGTCCGACGATATCCCTGTTGCGTCTAGCGCGTCTACGAACTATAGCTCCTCATCGAAGAAGCGACCTGCTGTCTGCGAAGAATCCGGTGATACAAAGCGCGCGAAGCTGGACGGGAAGCTTCCTTCTCCTGGCGTATCGCACCCCAAAGTGCGGGTAATTGTCCATCGACTGCTCTTAATCTCACGAGTTTTCAGGTCGAGCAGGAGCCGCTCTTCCTCGAGATACCCTCTTCGGACGAGGATGAACCCATCGTCGTCGATTCTGGTCCTACTTCTCCGCGTAACGCCAAGCGATCTCCCAGGCGATCCACTGCACCTTCATCATCCTATGGATCCGTCAAGAATGAAGCTCCGCCGACTGACGACGACTACCCTACTTACGACGACCCGTCCGCCTTCGACGACTCTGGCTACTTCGAAGCTCTCGCTCCCTCTCCGGTACCCTTCAACGACGACGATATGCCTGTGGACGCTTCGTCGGTGACGATGCATTCGAGCGAATATTCTCAGTCGCAGCTTGCTGGTGCAGAAGCTCCGGCGGCACAGGCGGATGATATGGAAGAGTTTGATGCATGGTTGAATAGTGGGGCTGTCGAGATTGTATGAGGCTTGCTTGTTTGTGCTTTGTTATTCTCTTCGTACGAATGAATGCTTTACTCGGATGAAGCTGTTACCGTGCACGAAGAATCTTCTGCCTTGCACCCGCGATTGACAGTGCAAGGTGGGATGGACCATCCTGGATGCAGGGCCAGCTCATCCGAGGGACTGAGAAGTCCTAGTCACTGACAGGAGAAGATGAGCAGAGACAAAAAGACAGCACGAGCTGCCCCCGTGAGGTTCGAACTCACGATCTTGTGATAGTTGTGAATAACAGTCACACGCCTTAACCAGCTGGGCCAGGGGGCAGATGACAAGTGTCGCACAATAACAGTTGTACAAGCACAATGCTGCTGCATGCACGAGAGTATCTCTATGTAGCACTTGTGGATATTCAGTCCAGCTCAGCCGATGTAGGGATGCTATGGTACAGTGACTTTGCGTTGAATCAAGAATCATTAGTCAAGTTCTAGTTTACCAACGCTGCTGGCCACGAAATGAAATGTGTTGAGCGAGGAGATGTCTAGACACCTTTGAGTATGCGGTTTGTCTTATTTCAACGCACATACCTGATTTATGACCGGCAGCGACTGCAGTCGTCGGCTTCACAGGCTTGAAGATCTTGTTAGCTTCATCGTAGGCCCAACCCCGGCTTTGCGCCGCTGTCGAGGGCGTCAGCAGCAGCAACTTGCGTACGTAGAGCAAACCACCTGGCACAATCTGCGCGCCCGGCATACCGAGATACATCTCGACGAGGCCGAGGGGCACCTCAGTGTAAGCACGCGATAACAAGCGGAAGGTGCGCTCGCGGAAGGAGTCTGCACATCCCAGATGAGAGGCTGCTCTGAGGTACATGCAATGCTCACGCACCAACAAACTGCCTGACGAGGGCGTGCAGCACCTGGGCGATCGGCTCCTCAAAGTCGTTCGCAACGGCAAGCAGGCTCTCCGCGCATTTGTAGACATGCTCGTAACGCCGCTGCCATGTCAGCGCAACGAGGCTGTTCAGCCCTTGTACGAGGGGCAGGTTGTGCAAGGAGTCTGGGAGGCGGAACATCGCGAATCGCGCGGGAGGCCTGCGCGCGATCAGCACTTTGCGCGCCATAAGGAATCCGCCACACCACGCACAGGTCATCCACAATCAAGTAGGCGAGCACCATCGGCGCCACGGCTAGGAGGCGCGCCGGTGAGTGCGCGTCGCCCTGCAAAGAACAGATGGTCAACTCGAGCGATCCGGTACTTGGGATCGACGACGCACCATGAGGTCCGCGCGTTCTGCCAGCGACACCACGTCGGAGTACTGGCCCTGCGCGACGGTTGCACTGATCTCCCCAAATGCAGCCCTGAACACGGTGTCATCGGGTGCGCGCTGGGGCGCTTTGGAAGATGAGGAGCTCGAGCTAGGCGCAGACGGCGTGGGCGCTTGCACTGGCGCGGGGTCGGTTGACATCTCGCTCGTAGAGGCAGCAGCAGCAGCAGCAGCGGCCGCGCTCTCTGCTTTGGCTTGATCCTCTATCTCTATGGAGCTTGTTGGGGGCGGCGTCGGGGGTGCTTGCATCGACATGATGGTGGGGAACAAAGACAGTCAAGTACAGCCGCAATAGGCAATGACGCGCATCCCTTTCGGTCGGCTACCGCACGCGGACTCCGTATATACGCTACATATATCTCTTGTATATTTGCCACTAGGATACCGGATTGAACGGCGCAAAAGCTTCCTTGAATGCCTGCGCGTCTGCCGTATCCTCCTCGTCCGATAACAGACATGCCTGCCACTCCATTCGCTCAGGCGCGCCCAGCAAGGTCGACAGTACCTGTCTTCAAGTCATCGTCAGCCAACAGCCCAATTCCGCACCCCAACCTGTTACTCACCTTCCAAACTGCAAGCTGAACGGCACATGGTCCTTGATCAGATGCACCATCTTCCGCCCATCGGGCAGGTCGACGCGGAAGTAGCTCCCCATCCCGCCCGCGCAAGCCTGCAGCGCTGCGTCCGCATCCTCCTCGAAATCAATATTCTGTCTCGCTCCCTCATCGCGGAACGCATTCTCGACAGAGTCCTGCAACCGCCGCGGGACGGGTACACACTGGACGTGGGCGTGTCCGCCCTTGCGCCCCAAGCGCGCCACCTCGAACATGACGCCGACCGCGTCGTGTTTGGCGTACAGAGCTCGTAGGGAGTATTTATACCTGCCTGCGGTCAGGGTAGGGTACCTTGAGGGAGCAGTTGTAAGCTTACTTTTCAGTCTCGTCGATGATGGAAGGCGCGAGGTCGCCGGGTATGGTGTGGAATGTCGGGTAGTGGCTGATTGGGATGATCAGGACATGTCCGCCACCCGGCACGTCGACATGGTCGGCGGCAGACTGCGTCGGCACCAACTGGCCCTTTGGCAATGTCACATAGCACTCGGTGCCAATCGCCACGATGAGGTGTTTCGCGATATTGGGGTTGGACAAGCAGAACCAGCACTCGTCGGCTGAAAATGTAGGGTTAGACGGCAACTTCAGAGCTGCATGCAGTGGGGTACCCACTAGTGATTTCCCTTGGTGGACCACGCTTGCCGCGACCGCCTCCGCCTTGTCGGGGCATCTGCTTCGCGGAGAGACAGTCTTCGATAAAGTGATCCTCGCTCCCGCATGCGCGGCAGACGTAGCCGGGCTTGGGCTTCCGGCCGCCCGTGTCGCCCACAGCATGCTTCGTCGGACAATCACGCACAAAGTGACCAGGCTGTACGGACGAGTCAGGACACCTGCTGATTATCGCGGGGGTGTACACACACCTCATTGCACAGTTTACAGATGAAGCCCTCTTTCGGTACAGGCCGTTCCGGGCAGTCCTGGATGAAGTGCTACGGAATGTGAGTATCGCGAGTAAAGCCGGGGATGAAAGAGAGCTTACTGCCGTCGACTCGCACCTCCGACACTTGTAGCCAGGTGGTGGCATCCCAGGTTCTCCCTGAGGTGCTGAATGGAGGTTAGCAAGGGCGTTGCAAGAAAGGGAGTACACATGCCTACTCGAGTGCGCTTGTTGGGCTGGCTGACATTACCCCAGATGTAGTTTTGTCCGCTATCATCTTGCGGCTCGTATGGTCGCTTGATAGGTAGCGTGGGCGCGTCCGTGAACGGGTTCCTCGTGATGTTGGCCGGCTTCGGTGCTGCTGCAGCCGCGGGCGTCCAAGGCGTGATGGAGAACGCGTAGAACCACTGTTATGCCGTGTAAGACAGGGAGCCCGGCGTGAGCATGAGTACTGACCCTCTGTTTCTTTCCAGGCGCCTGCGGCCCGCCGAACGCACCGAGGCTCACAAAACGCGACACTCGGTCCTCGGGGTCCACCCACGCATACGGCTCGCGCTCCCAGAACATCGGCGGGCTACCCCCGCACGCCGCAAAGTGGTATCTTGGCTTCAAATGCCGGACGACCTCGTCCAGTGGGGGCGCGCCGATCTGCGCCAGCTCGGGCGCCGGCAGCGGCGCGGACGAGAGCCGTGCGATCGACGCGGGCCAGGAGTTGGTGAGCAGGATGTCGACGAGCTGCGAGGAGGCGGTGTTGGTCTGCACGGCCGCGAGCGAGCGGTAGTCCTGCTTGCTCGATGCTTGCGACATGGAGTTGGAGAGCAAGCGCTCGACGGACTGCGCGGCGAAGGAGGGGGAGAGGAAGCCGGGTGCGGACTCTGAGCTGCTATGAGCCTCAGGGTCGTATGCACCTCCAAGGCAGCCAGGCGTAGCCCGTGCGCGGTGGTGAGTACCGCCGATTTGCCTGCGCGGGTGTCAGCAAGGCCAAGAGTAGAACACGTGAGACGCACTGAGTAGGAATACGTTCTTGCAGAGCTCCCCTCCCGTAGTCGCAAACTTGGCTACGACTGTCTCCGGCAGTGGGCAGTCCCCCTGCATGATATAGCACTCCAGAGGCGCTGCACGCGATTGTCAGTCGTAGCACACCCCTCATTGCATCTCACACGCACCTTCCAGTTCCCCCGCAAGCAACTGCGACACTTCATCGTTATCTTGAGTAGTGTCCTCCTCCGTCAGTTGCCTGGGACCACCGAAGAAGTCCCCTGTACAGAGAACGAAGTCGAATTTGCCGTGCTTCGCGTCTATAGCCTTGATCTTGGCGAACAAGTCGCGTATGGACCCAGCAGCGGAGCCAACAGTCAAGCTACAGAAGATGTTTTAGACGCATTCTTGAGTTGTAGAACTCCCTTACATCTTGACCGGAGCACTCGCCATGACGGTCGAGGAGATGAGGCTCAATAACGCCACAAAAGCAGAAATCGAACAAGTAACGTGATCATCACATTCGTCTAAAGCAGTGGCACACCCTTCCCCAGCTCTGTGGCTTGTGGCTTGACGCAAAATTGGTGGCGAGCCCAAAGCTACGGCTCCAGGAGCAGTTTAGGACAAAATCACGGCGTCAATTTGTGGTGCAAAGCACGTAAAAGCAGTTGTCAGGGTCAGCATGAACATATTTAGGGTTTTTCCAAAGCATATAAACGGTAAGGCTACAGGAGTCATGGATCCAAGGGGTCTCGGTCGGGATATGCTACAAGATGGGAGTCAAAGGTAAACAAGGTAGGAGATCGCTTTGCGCGCATTAGAGGTGTGAGGATGGGGACGAAGCACGGAGCAAGTGGAGGAATGGGAAGACAGAAATGACGAGAAAAAAGCATCCATGAGATAGGATAGATAGTTCACCTAGGCATTATAGACTTGATAGTCATATTCCACCGCATCGCCCCAGAAACTCGGATCGCACGCGCCCACGTCTATCGTGCTGTCGCCGCCCAGGTTGAACGGGCGCACGTCGTTCGTCGTCGCCTTTTTCCATTGCGAGTAACCATTCGCGTTCGGATTCCCGCCTTGCATGAACGCCTTGTACCGCGCTTGCACTTCCTTCGTCAGCGCCGCCTGCGCGTTCGTGGGGTTGCTTGTCGTGCCGAAGACGATCAAGATGTCGTCTTCGTGGCAAACCATGCCGTTGGCACATTCGCTGACACCCGCGTTGCTTGGATAGGTCGCGCCGAGGGTGTACACGCCCACGTATGCGTTCGCCCCTGCGCCGGCCCAGAGGCGAGCGAGAGTCCAAGCGGGGCAGCGCCAGATGGAGTCCGTGCCAAGCTTCTCCAGAACAGACCGCACGTCGTCGACGCCATCGGTGGAGTAGTACGAGGAATTAGTGAGGGTATCCGTGCGCTCGTCGCCGTAGGACGCTGCGCAGGCGTTGTAGAAGTATTCAGATGTGAGTGACGGTATATTGCCGTAGATCGTTGGCGCGGCTTCGTTCTTGACGGACGAGATGATGACTGGTTTA